GTAGACCTGAATTGTGTTTATCTACTTATATATATACATAGTAAATGAATTGTTGGATATATATATTTATATACGTGAAATTGACGTACATATGTACATATATATGTTGAGGGTTGAAGTACATACATACGTACTAATGTAGGAGCAAGGAAAAGGAAATAAGCAAAATGTTGGCAACAATATTGTTAGGATAACTATCTGCCTGCGTGCAGGACAGTATAAATAGAGCAGCAATTGGAATTAAAAATGACTTCTGGTTGAGTAGTCGTATACTCCAGTCGATCGTGCAAACGCAGATTGGAATGGCTAAGCAACGATTGTGAAGACTAAGTTGCTTAGTAAGTAGTTAAGGTATATGGTGTGACGTGAAAATGCTGCCAAAGCAATACGTTATATTGGTGTGACGTGAAAACGCTGCCAAGTAGTACTTATATGGTGTGACGTGGAAACGCCGCCAAGGAAATACGTTATATTGGTGTGACGTGCAAACGCTGCCAACTAAATAGCGAAATAAAGAAGCGTCACTATAAGAATCATTGGCGTATTTATTTTAACGTTTGGATAAGGGAACCCAACATCCGACTGAGCCACAGCCCAGCTATAGACCGGATAAACCGGGTTCGTTACAACATACTGACACACATAAAATACATCACTAACAAAAAGACTAAACAAAAGGGAACTGTTACCGACAAAAACTACGGCCGAGCAGTAAATATCATCCACCCTCTTATTTGCGTATGTTATCATTATTCCATTATTTTACTATTCGCCTTATACTTCTCACAGGCATTGTATTTCTCTTAGTTTATGCAATATCTCTTATTAGTTGCTTGTACAGATACATATGTACCGTATCATGCACTTCTATTGTTATTTACTACATATTTACTAAAACTAACTGCAATGTCAGGGCACTTTGACCAGCTATAAATTCAAGTTACTTGGTGCAGATTAAAACAGTTGTAAAGAAAATACGGTGAAATATAAAAAGTTCTAAAGAGCTCGGACGCTGTTAGAAATTTGTGTTTTACTTAAATTGGTACAACTGCCGCGCTTAAAAATACGCGCAACAATTCTTTAAAACTTTTTTGTCTTCGAGTAAAATTTGCGAATCGACTTTAATTAAGACCGGTTAATCTTAGCAACGAGGACAAGGAAACAACGGGTCAGAAATTGCCGAAAATGTGACGCAGCAGACAACGAGAGTATGGCCCAGTGTGACACCTGCGACGCCTGGTACCATTTCAACTGCGTTGGAGTAGGCAGCAATGTGGCTGACTTAAGCTGGAGCTGTGAGAGCTGCCAGAACCATACATCAACCACAAACGCGCATCCAGCTGCATCGTCATCGCCAACTACCGTGCAAGGTAACCGGCAAGTGCATTTTCTACCAACGTTTCCATCTACTGCGAAGATATCGCATTCAAGAGTCAATCCGCCTCTTAACACAACCACAAATATAATAACTTCTACTGCCACCGCTGGTAGTATTCCAA